ATGGGGATAACGGAAAAGAAAATGAAAACTACTATATTGTAATAGGGCTGAATAGGGTATATATTTGGGTTATATTGGGGAGGATGGAAAAGAAAATGGAAACTATTATAATGGGTTATATAGGGGCTATGTAGGGGATAGTGGAAAGTAAAATGGAAACTACTGTAATAGGGTGGGGTTTTTTAGGGTCCAGATTCCAAAGGGGGTGTATGGGATATTGGGGTTTTATACGAGCTGTATAGGGGTTCTATAGGGATGATGCAAAAGAAAATGGAAGCTACTATTCCGTTTAGGACAGGGCCATCTCCAACTTGCTCGCTTTTCCCTGCGGCCACAGTAAGGAGTGGTCCATTTGGTGGTTTGTTATCGAGCAGCCATCGAAGGCCCGGAAATTAACACATTCTGTTGAGGAATGCAGCTTTTTATTGTCTTGTCATCCTAAGAAAGTTTTTGCAATGTACGGAGGCTGTGCTCTCTGAAGCTTTGCAGCTCTTCGAATCTCCCTTGAAAGATTTACAAGTTGCTTGGGCTCCGCAGGCTCCCAACATAGCAGCTACAGCAAAATAGTTCACTGCACGCAAGAGGCGGAAGCCTCCAAGCCTTCAAATTGCATACTCATCACTGTGCAGGAGGGTTGACCGCCAGGCTCAGTATTTGGCAGAATCTAGCTTCGCCAACTGCGAGCACGACTAGTAGCAAAGACTGAACAGCAAGTAGGCCAGCTCGCAACATTGGCCAGACCATAGCAAGCTGAGGGAACGGTGGCATATGATGCGTAAGGCCTTGGCATAGCGAGGAAACAGGATTTGAAATATTTATGCACCTTCGTGGAGCATTCCAAAGATGCTAGGGAGGGGCCCCGTGTGCGGATCTCCTCCTCTTGCGGCGGCAACTACCCGCGACCCCACAGCCATCTGCAGCCTTTTGATTTTGGTTAGATTCATGTTGCTTGTGGACCGGAATAAGTCCGCCACCCCCCCCGCCCCCCCAACATGCAGATGACTAATGTCGTGACGAGAAAGTTGTATCCTATGTGCACTGGGATTCTTTATCCTTTTGTAGATGAATCTCACGAGAATATGCCAGAAACAAGAGCAGCACCATCAAGAGCTCCTCCTGCGGAGGCCGTGCAGGCGCTGTACTCCACTTTGATGATGGAACCTGGCCTCTCGGCCATCTTTCTCTACTTTTACTAGCAGCATAGAAGCTGCAGCAGTAGAAAACAGAAACGAGCAGTAGCAGAAGGAGGTTGAGAACCGAGGGGCATCGGGATCTGTTCGCAGAAGCAGAATCCCATGATTCAAGTCCTTATCTTGCAGGCCCTCCATCTTAAGCACCGGCGCATGGAATCCAATTTGGGGAGAATGCTGGTGGGGCTTGCGGATCTTGCTCACCTTGACAGCTTGGTCCCAGCAACAAGCTTGGTGCCAGCCATGGCGGCCTTAGCAAGCTTAGTAGTTCCTCAGGTGCCGCCATGGCCCTCAACCATCTGGCACGCAGCATGGCCCTCTACGCTTCACAGGCGGACGGCGGCACCCACACACTGGGCAACGGCTGCTGCAGTCCCGGCAGTGGCGGCCGCCTTCCTGCGGCAGCGTTGGCGGCGCCAGCGAGGCGCGCGCCTTGCACGTGCTGCAGTCGTAGAAGAGGAGCTGGCTCGTGCTGTTTGCTGTGACGACCCTGCAACTTGCTCGCACAACTCTCAGCCCAGCGATGTGGTGAGCGAGGACCTGCTACCTGTGACTGTGCTTTCTGGTTTCCTCGGGGCTGGAAAGACTACGTTGCTCAAGCGAATCCTGCGGTCAGCGGGTGAGGAGCTTGGCAAAGCTAGCGACGAAGATCAGGCTGCACCAAAGGTTGCTGTAATCGTCAATGACATGGGGGAGGTGAACTTGGATGCTGACGAGATCAAGAATTCCAAGCTGATTCAGGAGGAGGCCACAATGGTTGAGATGCATAATGGCTGCATTTGCTGCACTCTCCGAGGCGACCTGCTCAAGACAGTGAAGGCTTTGAGCGAGGAAAAGGCCTTTGATTACCTGGTGATCGAGTCAACGGGCATTTCAGAGCCACTGCCAGTGGCGCAAACATTCGTCATGGATGTGGATGATTTGGAGGAGGGGGAGATGGAGGAGGGTGAGGAGGGCTACATGGAGGAAGGCGCAATGGAAGAGGTAGACTTTGATGCGATGGAGGAGGAGATGGAGATGGATGGTGACTTGGAGGATGGGGAGCTTGCAGAGCTGAAGTCGCTTTCACACTTTGCCCGTCTGGACACCATGGTAACAGTTGTGGATGCTCTGAATGTTTATGATGTCCTTAGCAGTTTGGAGACTCTAGCCGAGAAAAACATCGCGGGCATGGTTGGCAACGATGAGGAGAAAGACGACCGCAGCATCGCACAGCTCATGCTGGACCAGATCGAGTTCGCAAACGTCATCTTGCTAAGTAAGGTGGACCTGGTGAAAGACAAGAATGCCTTGCAGGAGATCCGAGCTCTGCTGCAAAAGCTCAATCCAGCAGCGAAGGTAATCGTTCCCAGTAAGCCATATTTCGCAGATGTACCGCTGAGCGATTTGATTAACACCCACATGTTTGATATGGATAAGGCAGAGTCTTCTGCAGGGTGGATGCAGGAGTTGGCCAAAGCAGCCTCAGAGGCCGGACACACCCCGGAAACCGAGGAATACAACATATCAAGCATGGTCTTTCGCAGCCATGAGCGGCCCTTTCACCCAGGCAGGCTTGCCACTGTTCTGGCCGGCTTCGGCAGCTACGAGAGTGGCATCGCGGCAGGCCAGCGCGACGATGGCCACGCCGAGGCCAATGTGTTTTCTGGAGTGGTGCGTGCCAAAGGACACCTGTGGGTAGCAAGCGCCAACGCGCGGCCAATAGATCTGCATGTAGCGGGCCGGCATGTGCCTGAGCAGCCCAGAATAAGGTTTTTCTGTTTGTTTTACGCTTTTGTGGTGATTGATTGATTTTGAAGCCGAAGCACTGCTTTTAGAGCAATTGAGGTTCAGCTCGGAGCGTCCGAGATGCCTTTTCTGGCAGCTGTACCTAAAGAGGAGAGAGTGCCTCTTCAGGTTGTAATTTACCACTGGTTCGATACTTAGCGCGACGAACCATGTTAAGCCATGCTTTCCCGCATGATCTCTTGCAGCCCTTTCGAGGAGTGGGAGGATGCCTTTCACGAGTATCACAGAGCCTCTGCTGGATTCAGACATTGTGCCAGGCACGCCAGGTTGCCTTTTGTCTGTGCTGCGGACCACGAAGTTGCGATGTTTGGGGGTTCTGCAGATGTTGAAGTGACAATCAATCATGTAGCCAAAGCTTGCAAACAAACATACTCATATCGATGCCAAGAAAAGGAGACTACCACAGGCTATGCTTCGTAGTGGCAAGCATCCGTCTCACAGCCCTAGTGGAAAGCATCCGTCTCACAGTCCTTACCTTTGGAGGAATCAAGGGATGGATCCTCATAGCAGTCAATGTATAACTCATTATGATCATCGGAGTTTCAATTTTCTTTTCCATTCCTTCATTCCCGGCTGCAGCTAACCAAAGGTAAGTTCCTATGCTCTCTAAACAACTAAACCGTAAACCCCTAAACCCTAAGCCCCCAAACCCCTCAACCCTAGCCCCTAAACCCCTAAACTCTGTCCCAGGAGAGCTGATGTCAGCTGGGTCCTGGCACGCCAGCCATGGGGACCGCGGGAGCATGGTAGTCTTCATCGGAGTTGGGCTGGACAAGGACGGGATGGTAATTTGTTTCCTTCTAAAGGGGTTATGTAGGGGTATATAGGGTTTAGGGACTAGGGTTTAGGGATGGTAATCTAGCCCCCCTGATTAACTTTTACTACGATTATTAGTAATACTGTTAGTTTTTACTATTACTAGTACTGTTGCTATTACTTTTGCTAGCATTGACATGGAAGCCATTTTGAGACAATGTTCAGACACCCGCGTTTTCGGTCTTGACATCCATTCACGGCCCCAAGCCCGAACTTGCAGAAAGTCTTGCAGATTGCAAGGGGATGGGGGTAAATCTCCGCAGCTGCTAGCCTTCCTCTTTGCCCTTGATGCAGAAGCTTTTAAGACCCTGTCAGTTATATCACAATCACTATAGTCCCCCTTCAGTAGATAGAATATGGGGTATATGGGGATCTTAGTATAATATACCCAAAGCTAATATTCTATCTACTTAAGGGGGACTATAGCCTCCTGAATGAGGCTGGGATCGAAGCGGAGCTGGGAACTGCACTTCTCACGGATGCGGAGATGGCTGAGGGACACTTGGATCTTTCTGGGGTTTGTGGTTTAGGGGTTCAGGGCTTATGAAGTCAGGGACCGTTTCCAAGACACTTGAGGTGGGAAACAGCCTGAAATGTGCTCATTGGCTGCTTGCATGCCCAAAGTTCTAAAGCGGGAACCACAATTTTGGGGGCCCGTCCAGTGTTCTGGTAGCTATAGCTCATGTGACGAGTCAGAATGTTGTGCAAACATGTGTGTTACTACATCATCAGAGGATCGTTGAAGCCTTGGTGATTTTAGGCTCAAGCGCTCTAGCTTGGCCAACTATGCAACGAGATTCCTAGCAAAATGCCGCCAACCATTGAGATCCACAGTGCTTGGGCTCAACACATGCATTTCCAAAGCCAGGGGCTCTGCACAACGCAATGTTGATACAGTAATGGCGTCGGACTCACCTTCCGTCTCTTTGAACATGTCTAATCTTGGTCAGAGTTCTTGGAAACCATGCGTTTAAAGTCCCAAAGAAGACAAGATTCAAGGTCCAGCTGAACTGCTGTAAAACGAGGTAGTCGTGGATTTTCAGGGATTACAGGAGGTACAAGGGTTCGTAATGCAATCAGAATCCCTGGTTTTAGAACTCCGTATCAGGGGAGCGGAGTTGGTTCTGCGTGTAAGGCCTTCAATTCGAGAAGCCCAGTGAAGCGAGATGGTCCCTCAAAATCTAACATGCTCCGGAGTATCTGAAACGAGATGGAACGAGATTGCAGAACAAGTATGGAACCTGTTGACCATGGGCCAAACAAAAATTTTTGACCTCTGCTCATATGAGTAGTATTCTATCTGGGAATGCTATGGTACCCAATATAGAGTATAAGATTCTATCCTCCTTTTGGGGTATAGTATTTTATACAAGGAATATAATCTTACTGGGTTTAACCACCAAAACAAACGCTACTCATATGGTGCCTCCATGTTTGTTTCCCTAAACCCTAAACCCTGTGCCTCCATGTTTGCTTTCTCATTTGGACCCTCCAAAAGCAGCCGATGTCCCAGGAGAGGCAAGCTGGGAGGTGCCGCAGGGTTCCGTAAAAAGTAGGGTTTAGGGTTTAGGGTTTAGAGTTTAGGGATAGGGAAACTACTGTAATGGGATATTTTGGGGTTATATTGGAGATAATGGAAAAGAACATGGAAACTACTATAGTAGATTCGAGAGCGTATTGGGTTATATTGGGATAATGGAAAAGAAAATGGAATTTACAATAGTATATGGGGGGTTATATGGGTAGAATGGAAAATACAATGGAAACTATTATAGAGGAGTTCCCCATAGATGAAAGAACAATTTTAGAACTCTCTGTGTGGGTTTTGCCGGTGAATTTGACGGTCTTTCTAGTTTCACGCAGAGGAAGTATAACCTTTTTTGATAGGAGCGGAGCCACCGCAACCCTTGAGAAGGGACACTAAAGGGTGCGAGGGATGAGGGAGGGCTGGGGCCAGGGCCTTCATGGACTCGAAGACACCATACACACCAGGACGCCGTGCCAAGGCGTTATTTGGTTCATGCCCGCTTCAAAAAAAATGAACCTGCCAAGAAGGACGCATCGGCCCATTAGTGCGTCGAAGGTACCACAATGGCCGCTAATGATGTGCATGACAGGAGAATGTGCAGTTGGAACATGCTGCGGCAATCTGACAACCTGTTTTGGAACACACAATCACGTATCGGCAAACGACATCCGCCATAGAACGTACAGGATTCCAATACTTGACCTCAAGTACGGAGCGATGAACTTACCAACCTGCCACATCACAGGCATTGGATGACCCATTCTTTGCGGGTGAGTACTTTGAGAACCACGAGCACTTGGAGGAACCAAAGTTCGTGATTTTGGAGGAGTAGGTTCATTGCGCTAATGACTGTTTTGTATTGTGAGTATTCTCACTTTTACTATCGCTACCACTACCACTAGCATTGGTATTAATATGTAGATTCCCTGGCAAAGCAGGACTAGGTTCAGCGTTATATAAGAACTAGGGTCTTCCCAGCATTCCCTGCTGCTTCCAGACTGGCACACGGAGTGATCAGGGCTGATATTCTTGAAGCTTTCTGCAGATGTGGGTACCGCTAAATATGGGGCCGAAATCTGAATCAGTCAAAACTCTTGGAGATTTACTCGCAAATCTACACCGTGACTTCATTCATCCTTGTGTAGCCCGCACAGAAGCTGGAGTAGCCTCAAAGCCCGTAGAATTCGAGATCAATCTGATAGACATCGTCATTTTTGCTCGCTGGCTCTCGTAGCCGCAGTTGTTATGATGTGCTTGTGTTGCACCAGAAAGCTCGAGGGCTTCTTCAGGCTAAGGGGAGGTTATCTTAAGGCAAAAACTTTGCGGGTCTACGTTGAGGATGTGCAATTGAATCGTTCTCAGCAGCAGGCATGAGGCCACTACTTCTTCACCAAATTTCGAGAGCACTGCTTTAGGGTGTCAAGAACGGTTGCTTTCCACATCCAGCTTCGCCAGATTCTGGGTTGCTGTTGGTAAGCACAAGAAAGCAAAACGGACCCTCTCAGAAAACAAAGTCTGTACATGTTGGCAGCCCTTGCAAGCCCCAAACCGAGCTACATGTTTGCGGTGGTAATCTGATCTTGCGCATCACGTTTGCTGTCAAAGCACTAATGCCCCAAGAAGCACCGCGGTGATACTCCCCTGAATCTGTAGGATGTTCCACGTGGACACGCTTCTGGCACCCTTATCACAAGAGACAACCATGTAATTGCCATACCATGCCCATACTGCGTGGTTTGGAGCGCAGTGATCCTGGCTCCCAAAATGATACAGAGGTGTTACGTGCAGCCAGACCCAGCTGCTACCATCTAGAGAATTGAGTGCTATCGGCTGCTTGTTAACGATGAGACCCCATGTGCCAGCGCGAGAGGTGGCTTACTCACAGCGCACAAGTCGCATATTCAATCTTTACTTGGAGGTTTTAGTCAGTGCTGAGGTAAGTTGAGACTCTGGAGTTTGAAATTTGCACTCTTACCCCGCATTTAGGATGCTGTGGTGAAAAGGCTTACCTTCCTGCCTAAAGCTTCCAAGCCCATTTGCCTGGGCATACTGAGCCTGCCCAGAAGCAGCGCCAAGCCCTGGTTCTTCCCAGTTGTCGAAGGCTTCCAGAAGATCAACGGATCTGTATTGAACTCAAATGTGGGCTATCCCAAGAGCAACCCACCCTTATAGCGTAAGAATCCGACCATAGTTGGGCATAGTACTGTATGTTGCCACTTCCATTTAGACGCTTTTGGGCCCATTGCTTGGGGGTTTCTGATTTTTGTTTCAAGAAACGCTAGCTACTTCCTGTTTAGGCGCCTTTCTGTTGATGGGACCGTGACAGCTGTAGATGCAGATGTGGATGAACAACCCGCCGCCTGCCGCGTGCGAGAAAACTGTTACAGAGTCATGGCTTCTGCGCAGCCCTTCCCTGCCCAGCGAAGCCCCACAAGTTCTAGGCAGACAGTCCTACGGACGAGTGGCGACCATGCAGGTTGTAAAGTCCATTTCATCTTCTGCTAGTTTTCATTCTTATGCGGAGGAGCGTGTCACTATCTAGCACACGCTTTGATACACCGCTTAATCGAAGAAGCGTATGAGGGTTTCCAAGACTTGGGTCAATTTAGGGGGTCCCTACAATGAGGGTTATCCTATGATTATGTGTTAGGACACTCTATTTATGGAACCCCCCCAATATAGTCAGTAGCAAGAACCATGCACGATGCCACATTGTGGAGGAAGCTATGACAGTTTTAGAATGTTTAGATTAGGGAATTCTAGTCAGATTCTAGTCTAGTAATTCGCTCTTGGTCACACAGGTAGAGTTATGGCGTCCGCATCAGGGGAAAGTATGGGCTGGAGATTCCTTGCAATTGTTTGGCTGCAAGAATCAGAATCTGCGACCAGAAGCTTTTTCCTGGTAAGGCCACAACTCGCTCCTAGGATGCGCAGGTTCGATTGTTTTCGCATGTAGAAAGTCGAATCTTGGCAAGAGCTCCTGGCATAAGCCTTCCCAAGCTAGTTGGGAATATGCACCTCTAATCCTATGCAACCCCCATATACCCACATAGCTTCAAACAACCCCTATATTATACATACATATATATTTATTTATATTCCTATCCCCCCGCCAGATGTTTAGGGGGTTTGGGCCTAGACACTGGTGGGCTGGGGTACTTCAGGTTCTGATGGACAGGCGCCTGTTGCTCTGACGTACGTTAAAGGCAGTTAGAGCCAGAAATCTTCCCAAGGCTGTAGTAGCAAGCCTCCTAGCTGCGCCCCGCAAACCGCAGCGAAAACCCGAACAGCCAAGGTCCTGAGAGTCCTTGCCCCAAGATTTGACATCGACATTTCACAGCTCACATGTTCGTTGCACCCAGAAGAGGTTTTTGTAACTTTGGGGGGGGAGCGCCATAGAGTGCCTACAGCGTGATACTTTGATCTCAGAATGAGCAACTTGTCACACCCCTGGTCCATTGCGAAGAGAAAAGGTTGGCAGCAGCAGGGCAACCGAATCGCTGCAGTCGCGCGTACGATCCTCACCACTCAGCAGCTTTGCCATCAGGAGTTGAGGGTTCGCCAAAGGGCTGCGGCGCCTATAACAAGGACTGCACTATTGTCTGGTGCATATAGAAACCATAATTTTGGCGTATTCCTGCTTGAAGCTTTCAGTGAAACCATGGTTTGGGCGCGTTCCCGTTTGAAGCTTCCAGCCTTCCGCATTTGCAGTGGTAGGTCTCAGGGCTGCAATATTGTAGGGGGTTGTTTTTGGGATAATGGAAACGGAAATGGAAGCTACTATAATGTGTTATATAATGTGTTATATAGGGTTTAGAGATTAAGGTTGAGGTTACCTCGAAAAATGTTGATGGTTGATGTGCGGGTCATGGTCAGAACCGCCCTACTGACTGGCTGCCAAAGAAGCAGTCTGAGGTGACCTTGTTTCCGGCCTTCCCTAAACATCATGATAGCTTCCCAAAATAGATGTAGACCTCAATATTCTAATCCTTAGTATACGGATCCCCAAAAAGGGTAGCCCCTGGTTTTAGGAAACCCTGAATCCTTTATATCCCTATATACCCCAAATAACCCTATGTATCCCCTGTGAGCCGCTTTAACAGATACCCCTCATTTCGGGAAACCTCTCATAGTTCGTGGCTTTTTCTGGCGCACCCATCAGGCTTCTACGTAGTAAGCTGCAATCAAGCTTCATGCCCCAGTCCTATGCTGGGTTGCTACTCAGGAACTGAAATTAGACTAAGTTACCATAATGCCATAATGGGTGTATATAGTAATATGGCTTGCCCAATATCATCATCGACACTTGCAATCCAAGGCCTCCGCCCTAGTAATCGTGGCGATTAAAACAGTTACAATAGTTTAGGTTAGGGTTTAGGGTTTAGGGGTTTTAGTGGTATTTGTATTCGTGGTAGTCATAGTAGTATTACAAAAGTAGCGGCACCAGTAGTTCTAACAGTTGTAGTCTCCGGAAGTCTAGACCCAGGTACTGGACGAACAACCCGGCTCTCTCGTTAGAAAAGGCTGCTCGTCTATTTGGGTTGGCTCATGAACGCCTGGTTGGAAAGAGTGATTGGCAAAGTTGAGGCTATCATGGCGAAGGTGTTTATAGGCTTCTGTCGACTAGCCACGCCAGATAATCAGACTTAAGCTTAGCTCTTCAGATTGATAATTAATAATTGTCATCATACTTATTCAGTATTCGTACTAAGGCATTATGCTTAATTATCAGGATTCTTACTACTATAGTGTTAACTGTTGGCATTAGCCTTCAGATTTCTGCGAGCTTTTTTTGTCTGCTGATACCTGCATGGGGAAAGTGCCCTCAACCCAACTCAGACGTGTTAGCCTTCAATTCCCGCTATCATCTGTCGCACTGGCACTGATTTTGTGAAGGTAGTGAGTGGCGTGGGCGTTGGCGCGGCGCGCTCCCTCTGTGCAACCTACTGCTCTGGCATGTATGTGTGCGCCATGCGCGCAACTCGCGGAACAGGTGAGTTCACTATAGGGATATTACCGCAAAAATGGGAAGTCAAATGGACAAGACCATGGAAAATGACATGGGAACTGGGGGAATATAGGAGTTATATTGGGGTTATATAGGGGATAATGGAAAAGAACATGGAAACTACTACAGTGGGTTATATAGTCTTTTATGAGTGCTATATTTAGGGGGTATATCTGGGGTAGCGGGGGTTATATTTGTCGGATTAGGTCGTACTGTTCCCAACAGGTGAGTTCATTATTTTGGAGGCGCCTGCCTATGCTCTGCCCGGAGGGGACATCTGCAACATTGTTGAAGAACATTTTGCTCTTGTGAAGTTTAGGGTTTTAGGGCTTCGGGGTTGCAGCTTAAGGATACATACGCGTACTCATGTTTCAGATACAGTTCTTTGCTTCTGCTTTCTAGTGTTCCTGGTGAGGACACGACCATTAGCATGTTCAAGGCTTATGGCTTTGGCACGCAGTTCTCTCTGAATCGGACCATTCCTGGATACAGACCGACACAGAGTCCTGAGTTTCGCTACCAGGCGGCTGCTGGCGGTGATCCATTGAACCTGTCCTGGGTTAAGCTTTGAAGCTGGTAGGGGTCTTGGATTGGGTTTAGGGATTAGGGTTTAGGGCTTGGATTGGGTTTAGGGTTTAGGGCGAGTACTGCCCCCCCCCCCCAGTAACAGTCTATATTAGGGGTCCTGTTAAGGGCTATATATAAGCATATTATAGTTATTATCCAACTGTTACTGAGGGTGGGCAGTACCCAAGGTTTAGGGTTTGTGGTCTGGCCTTGACTCAACATGTCAGGGGCAAGCTTGACACATGTTTTAAGGAACT